GCCTGGAAGAGGATGCAATATGTCCAAGGCCACGGGGAATGTCAATGTGGGAATCCACCCATGGCATGTCTGTTCACTCATGAGCACAGCAATGGAGACAGACTCCACTTTCTAATATTGCAGGGCCAGGGCTTGAAATCACCTATTTACTAGCTGTGTGACCTTGGGAGAGCCACTTCACTTCTCTGAGCCTTGTCTTTACTTACTTGCAACTATAGATGCTCCGTAGATGTAGCTTCTAAAAGTCAATAGCAGAGTAAGTGCAAATACACACTGTATCAGTACATCTACAGACATGCACCATCATCATTTACATGCCTGTTGGTGTGCACATGAGTGTACATTGGTGCACACCTTTGCATGTAACATGCTTATTCAAGGACTTATATATGGGCCCACCAATTTACATAGAGATGCATGGGCCTGCGAGGTCATTTGGGCTGATTATATTTTTCCAACGATGCACACTGGTAGGGTGGTTTCCAGAGGATCTTCTGAGCTCCTGTCATGGGCAGGAATTGGAGTTTATCTGGGTAGACATGCATATGCTTGCCTGTGCCTGTGTGAACCTAAGTGAGGGGTATTGAACACCGTGCCATCCGTTAGCAGGTTGGTTAATTGGTAGAATCTGTGGGGATGGGCATCACCTCTATCGATGGATGCAGGGGTGCGGGGCATTCTGAACCTATATTGTTTGGGTTCAGATCTCAATCATGCAACCTTTGCCAAGATGCTTAAACATTCTGTGCTCAGTGTCCTAGTCTGTGAATTGGCGAGAATGATAACCACCTTATGGTGGTATGAAGACTAACAGAATTCATTATGTCAAATACTAACTACAGAGCCCGGCATAGAGTGCTATACAACTGAATCTCCCTGCCTCTGTCCTCTGTGACATATGACATCACCTTCTATTATAGTAGCCACCCTATTGCATCGCCATTGTCTCTCTACTGGACTGTCCGTTCCACTGGACTGGGAGTCCCTGGAAGGCAGGGCCATGTCCAAGTCATCCTCAGTTATAACCTGTGCATTGCCTGCTAATGCTGAACCTCAGATTTCTCCTGCATAACAACAGCTAGCAGTTATAGGGCACTTCTATATGCCAGGTACTATGTTAAGCTCATTAGGTTGTCAAACACTCTCAAGAGATTGGTATCCTTGTTGGCCCTATTTTAGAGACAAAGAAATTGAGACTCAGAGAGGTTAAAAAATTGCCCAGGGTCACACAGTGACTTGAACCTGGCAGATTGCCTCACTCTCAGCCTGCTCTCAATGTAAGGTTTGGGATGAAGAGTTTGGGGCATAAATGTTGCAGAACATCTGCCTCTTGGACTCGCCACAGCTGGCGCTCGCTCGCTCGCGTGCGCTCTCTCTCTCTCTCTCTCTCTCCGCCCCCACATCTCATTAACACCTGCTCCACCTATATTAATATCCCTGTGTTTCTCTTCCTCACCTTGATGCTGCTCAGGCACAGCACCCCTAGAGGCCAGACAATGGCCCCAGATCACCCCTTCATTGGCCCAGTTGGGGGTGAGGTGGAGGAGCTTCTCTGAGGCTGGGCCCCTGGGTTCGCAGGAATGAGGATGGGAATGCACGACTCAGCAGGAGGGAGAGGCAGCTCTGGGTAGTGGAGGTTGGGTGCTCAGGCTCTGGCACAAAACAAAGTGGAAAGAAGATGACTCCCCCACCCCCATCAGCCGCCCTCCTTCTCCCAGGTCTCCCCACCGCAGAGAGGGGAGGGATGCAGGTTGGAGGGAAAAATGCTTCCCTGGGATGTGGGGGAAGCTGTCAAACTGCTGAGCTGCCACCAATTTGAGGGAACACCAGAGGGTGCCCTGAGGCAGCTGTGAGCTCTGGGTCTATTTAGTCCTTCCCTGTGCCCCTTGGGTCTCCAGGAGCCAAGGAGGCCCAAGGCCTGGTGTATTCTGTTCTTGTTGTGCGGAGCGCCCTATAAATGTCAATTAGGTCAAGTCGGATGATAGTGTTGGTCAAATCTTCCCTATCCTCCTGATTTTCTGCCTATTTGTTTCATTATTTATTGAGAAAGTTTTGAAATCTACACCACAGCCTGGAAACCCAGAGACGTTGAGGGGCCGTTGCAGGGCTCCTCCTTCATTTCTCTCTGGGTCCACTCTGGGGCTTTCGGGGGGGGGAGGTAAACCTGATTCTTGTTGCTTCGTATTGGCCAGAACAATTGTATTATTTTTTAAACTTGGTTTTGGAAATAATTTTAGATTTACAGAAGAGTTACAAAGACAGTACACAGTTCCTAGATGCCCTTCTACCATGTCTCCTCACTCTGCCTCAATCCGTAACAGTTTCTTGGTCATTCCTTGTCTTTCGTGACCTTGACACTTTTGAAGGACTGGTTGGATTTTGTAGCACGTCCTTCTTTGTTGTTGTTGTTAATCCTCACCTGAGGATATTTTTTCCATTGAGTTTTAGAGAGAATGGAAGGGAGGGACAGAAGGTGGGGGACAGAGAGAGAAAGAGAAACATGATGTGAGAGAGACACATCGATTGGTTGCCTCCCACATGTGTCCTGACCCAGACTGGGTATTGAGCCTGCAACCCAGGTACGTGCCCTTGCCAGAAAATCAAACCCATGACCCTTTGGTCCGCAGACCAAGACTCTGACCACTGAGCCACACAGGCCAGGGCTGTAGCACATCCTGCAATTTGGGTCTTTCAATGGTTGAAGTGATGGATTTGGGGAAAAGAGCACCACACGGGTGATGTACACATCTCATCACATCAGTTCAGGGGTCCACAATGTCAACCAGACTTGTTCCTGGCGACGCTAACCTCAGTGATTGGTTGAGGTGGCACCTGACAGATTTCTCCACTGTGAAGTCTCCACTTTCCCTTTCCACCTTCTGTTCGTTGGGAGCAAGTTGCTGAGTCCAGCTCACACTCAAGGAGCCGGAACTCGGCTCAGCTCCTGGGAGGAGGAGCTTCAGAGAACTTGTGGCCACACCACGTTAAAGCCACCACAGGAGCCCTGGCCGGTTTGGCTCAGCGGTTGGAGCCTTGGCCTGCGGTCCAGAGAGACCCGGGTTCGGTTCCCTCTAAGGGCGTGTACCTCGGTTGCAGTTTGTCCTCGGCCCTGGTTGGTCGCGCAGGTGGCAGCCACTTGATGTGTCCCTTTCACGTCAATGTTTCTCTCTCCCTCCCACTCTATCTGAACAAAAAATGGAAAAATGTCCTCAGGTGAAGATAAAAAAAAAAAAAAAAAAAAAAGCCACCACAGGAATTAACAAGTATTTGGAGGGGAAACTATGCAAATATCTTCTTTCACCTGAAAGTTTCATCCACGCCTCTTAGCATTCACAGGTGGGTTTTGCCTGCACTGATTACTACTGTGGTGTGCTAAGGACAATTTTTAAATTTCTCTCAATCTTTCTGTGTCTATTACTTGAAATTCTTCTGTAAGAAAGATTGGTCCCTTCTCCCTCCTTTATTAAATGTTTTCAATGAAATATATTATTTAAAAATTGTTAAAGTTAATTACATTTTTAAATGAAATACACTCACATGGTTCAAAATTCAAAATGGATACAAGTCTCCCTCCCACCCCTGTCCCCAGCCACAGAGTCCCTCCCCAAAGACAACCAAAGGCAATAGAGAGTTTATGCATGTGCAAGCAAGGTCTATAAATCTCCTGCTTGCACAAATGGTTCAAAAGTACTCCTGGTGTTCTGCACCTTCCCCCTAACAATATCACTTGGAGATCTGTGTAGATCAGTACATACAGAGCTTTTTCATTCTTTTACATCGTGTTCCAGTGTGTACCTGTACCGTGATTTCCTACCCAGTCCCCTGTCGGTGAACATTTAGGTTGCTCCCTGTTACAGACAACGCTCCCGTGTTCCAACATGTAGAGTTGAGGCTGTAGAAACGCCGCACAGAGGGAGGGGTCAAAGGGCTCGTGTGCTTTCCGTGTTGATATTGCCCCACGGCCGCTCTTGTAGGTGGCACCAGTGTACGGCCTGTTTTTAAGTATGGGACACTGTATAGAACCCCCCATACCACGTGTCTTAAAACAACAGAAATGTGCCCTGGCCGGTTTGGCTCAGCAGTTGGAGTGTCTGGCTGCGAACCAGAGAGTCCGAGGTTCGGTTTCTGCTAGGGGCACGTACCAAAAAAATACAAAACAACAACAAAATAAACCAACAAAAATGTATTCTCTCACAGTTCTAGAGGCTAGAAGTCTGGAGGATTTGGGCTTTTACTCTGAGTGAGGTGGGAGCCATGAGTGGTGGTGAGCAGAGGAGAGACACCACCTGACGTTCCACCAGGATTGGTCTGGCTGCTCTGTAATGAGTAGGCCTGGGGCTTGGAGAAGCTGGTGCGAGAATCCAGATGAGAGGTGCCAGAGGCTCAGGCCAGGGAGCCAGCTGTGAGGTTGGTGAGAAGTGGTTGGGACGGGGTGTATTTCCAGGGTTGAGTTGGCAGGACGGGCTGATGGACTGGATTCAGGCCCCATGAGGAAAGAGAGGAGTCAAGGATGACTCCAAGATTTTTGCTGGAGTAACCGGGACGCTGGACCTGTGATTCTCTAAGGTGTGGACACCAGATGGGGTCTTAAAAGCACTGAGAACAGGGCCTGGGCCCTGCTAAGTACCAAGAGAGGTTAGCTGTTCACATCACTGGGAAGGATCCCACCTTTGGCTCCAGCTCCCTCCCTAAACGGCCCTTGCCCTCCCTCTCTCTCAGGGATGGGGCAGCAGGTTGTCCAGATGGCTGAGAAATGTCCTTCCCATCCAGCAAGCATTTAAATTCACCCTCAGGAAGCCTAGGCAAGTGGCTTCACTTCTCTGACTGTTAATTACCTCATCTGTAAAACGAAGATAATAATCTCCTTTCTCTTGAGGAGCAAATGAGAAATGATGGATTTCAGTGTCCAGACACATGGCAGTCTCTTCCTTCCCTCTCCATGCCCCAGTGACCAGGAAGAAAAGAAGTAGTCAGTATCCACCCCAGCTGTTTATTGAATGGGAAGGCGGGACGGAAGAGGTGCAGAATGGGGAGCCGGCCTGGGGAACGAGGGCAGTAGGGCCTGCCTGGTGGGGGAGGACTGAAGACGTCGGCCCCCCTTGAGGCCTCAAGGCTGGTGGTGACACCGAGCCGGAAAGGTAGGGGCGGCGTCCACGGGTCTCTTTCCAGCGGTCTTGGAGCTCCCCCTCGTGGCAGTGAGTGGAAATGATGTGTCACCTGTGAGTGATGGGTTCTAGGTGGGAACTGTGAGGGACAAAGACATCCTAGTTCTCCTGCCCCCTGGCTCTTAGAGACCATTTAGGTGCACGTTCAACGTATTTTCTGAGCCACCTGGGACATCAGGCCTCCAGGGAGTCTCTCTGGGCCCTGGGAGTCCCATGAAAGCCAGGAAGGTGTGGGGCCCTGCTGCAGCTGCAGAGCAAGAGCTGGCCCAGGAGCCAGCAAATGTGGGTCCTGCAGACAGACTGCCAGCCTCCCTCAGTCACCTCACCCTGCACTGGGCTAGTGGTGGCCCAGAATGGGGTGGATGGAGGGGCTCTGATGCCAAAATGTCTGAAGAAAACATACTCTGGGGAGGGGTAAGTGTTTTTGCACCATGGTGGACAGGAAGTCCTGTGAGCATCCTTGACCCACCGGAGGCATCCTGGTACAGCTGGCAGGGGGTGGGGTTAATGGATGAGAATGACCTTGCTAGTCCACCTCACACTCATTTTTGCCAATAGAGGGTAATACTTACATCAGGGGAGAATGGGAAACTCATGGGACTTGGGAATCTGGCCCAAACCCCTTTTAATACAGAGGCAGAAACTGGTGGTCTGAAAGGGTAAGGGGCTTGGCCACATTGAGAAAAGAGTGGGAAACAGTTGAAGGAGATGCTTTCTGCCCCTGAAGAGCCTGGGAAGGAGAGATGGGTGGGAAATTTTAAGTGGATTTGGGAAAGGTTGGCATCTTGGATGAGTTGGGCTCTACCCCCTGGGAATGGGCATGGGGATGTGAGCTCCAGACTTTCTGACCTGGAGTTGAGCCTTCTGGCGGCTTAGACAGAAGGGTCCCTGCTGAAAGGGAGAAGTGAAGGAGGCAATGGGAGGGTGGCGGGTGGTGGGGAGCAAGAAGGGTCCAGACGCTGGGTCTGGTGCCTCCTCTGCCATGTGAACAGCTCAGGAGTCCCGCTTCGGCTGGATGGTCTGCACAGAGGATGGCCCAAAGGGGCTGGCGGGAGGCGAGAACCAAGACTGGCCACTGGCGTCACGGAAGATGGGGGAGAACTGCTGTTCTGACTCGTCCCCAAAGACCTCCACATGGCTGTCAGCATCGGTGTCCAAAGGTTCTGCTTTGGTGTCCTGGCTCAGCCAGCCGGTCATGGCCCAGAATAGGCAGATGGCCAGCAGGACCCCGGCTGCCACGCAGAGTGCTGTGCCTGCCAGGCGGCAGGTGCCCAGAGCCTGGTTGTAGTCAGCTGCCCGCTGATCCAATACCAGGAACTCACCCTCTCCAATGCCCTCCAGCTTGGGGGGCACGGCATAGCCAGTGGTCAAGGCTGCCACACCCAACAGCAGAAGCAGGGTCCCTGAGGACAGGCTGATCTGGAGAGAGGCAGACAGATTGGGAGGCAATCAGGGTCAGTCAAGGGCCCTAGGCCAAGGGATCAACCTTAAGAGATGGGAATCACAGGGGCACATACTGTCATGTTCCATTTTGAATCTTGAGGCCTCTTGATTAATTTCCTTCCCAGCTCCCACCTAGCAGTGGGTTTCTTTAGCCAATCTTGAGTCCTCCTCCATCATTATTTGAGTCCTATCTCATCTCCCTGTGCCATCCACCCTCTATCTCTATCTCTGTCTGGTTAATTCCTAGACAGCCCTCAGATCTCATCTCAAGCCTCACCTCCTCAGGGAAGCCTTCCAGGACACCCCTGAACTGAATCAAGTCATCTGCTCTACACTCTGTGCAAAATGCTGTGCCCATTCATTCTTCAGTGCACTCACCTTGGCTCATACTAGGTTGTATACTTTGGTTACTGTGTAACTGGTGTCTTCCTGTCCCTCCCCCCTCCCCCCGCCCCAGCCCCCAGACTGAGAGCTGAGAGGGCCATGAGACCAGAGGCTGTGTCCATTTTGGCTCACTAGGTGTTTTCCATGCCTAACACTGTACTAGTACAGAGTAGTAGCTGAGTGAATGTTTGTGGAATAACTAATGAACCACAGCTAGGAGCTTCTTAAGGACAGGAACCAAGTTTTCTTAAATTCCCTGTCCCCCGAGTCGAGCACACTTCCTGGCAATTAGAAGATGGTAAAATACATACTGACTTTCTCCTGGAAGTCTTCCCTGATCACCGGAGGTACTGAGAGCATTTATTTTCCTGGTGTCCTCTGCATACCTCGCCTGAGTTAGTGCATCAATCTGCACAGGTTGGCACCTCCCCTCCCCAGCAGAGTAAAGTCTTTTGAAAGCAGAAGGGAGGCACTCTCTGATTCTGTCTTCCACCGTGCTTGTCAAAGAACTGTGCCCAGTGTAGGGACTCGGCTCTCTGCCACCTCCATACCTTTACGCACATGGTGTGCCCTAACTGACCACTCGCTTTGTCTGATATGGACATCGATTGTTTCTCTCACATCTTCCACTGCCCTGAAAGCAGTACCCCAATAAATCATTGGGAAGCACAGTGGTATTTAAGTGGGACAAACCCCCAATCCCTGGCAGTCGGCATAAACCATCCCCCTGGCCACAGTAATTATTTCAGGGCTGGGCAAGTGATCCAACAGAGCCAATGCAATACTTGCCAGTTCTAGGACTAAAAAGCATTGTTTCTTTTTTAAAAGTTGTTTTTATTGACTTTTTTTAGAGAGGAAGGGAGAGAGAGAGAAACATCGATGTGAGAGAGTAACATCGATTGGCCACCTCCTGCACGCCCCCTGCTGGAGATTGAGCCTGCTACCTGGGCATGTGCCCTGACTGGGAATTGAACTGGGACCCTTCAGTCCACGGGACGATGCTCAATCCACTGAGCCACACCGGCCAGGCAAAGCATTGTTTCTTTTCTGAAGGAACTACTAGAGGAAAGTCTGATTTCCCTTGGATGGTGTGGAGTAGAAGACTGAGGGTCAGCACAGTAGCAGCCATTGGGGAACATGTGGGAAAAACCTGAAGCTAACGCAGGTGTGGGAAGCCTGAAGACTAAGAGAAATGTTGAGTCTTCGATGTGATGGTTTGAACTGCTGGATCGGAATTTGCCTGAAGGCACACAATCTCTGGTCTCTTCTACAAACCAAGCAGCACTTTCTCTTGATTGTTTAAACCCATCGGAGTTGGGTTTTCTATTGCTTGAACGTGCAAGACTCCTAACAGCTACACCACCCCTTTTCTTTCTCTCCACTGAGTCCAACTCTGCCCTGAAGCCACAGGAAATCACGGGTTGTTCCTCCTCTGGCCTTACCTTCCAGCACAGGGAGGGCCAGGGTCGCCGGGGACACAGAACAGGAGGCCCCTCAGGGTCATCGCTGAGGGCTGTACCTGCACAGTCCTCATAGAACAGGTGCAAATAGGAGCGGACCCCATACCACTTGCCGTCTTCCACATTGGGGCCCTGGCTGTAGCCGCAGGAACGGTCACAGCTTGGCATCATGGATCCCTGTGGGGTAGGCAAGGTTTAGCATACAGAGGGAAGGGTCAGTGAGAGCTGCCCATGGGGACCCTCCCAGGCTCCTGAATCTTTGTGTCCCATCCACTTCTCCCATTTAAGACACCCCACACTCACAGCACAGCCTGGCCTTCCGGAACCCTGGCCTGGTTTTCCCCGGTACACTGTGAACGAGCCAGGGCACTGAAGTGCTTCGCTCAGTCCCTGGCAATTGTAGGTGTCAGTGAAGGTGTGTGTTTGCTCTGGAGGCCACTCATGGCTGGGATTGTGGGTTCTGGATCCTCACTGTCTGGATTGGAATCCCGGATCCCCCACTTCCGAGCTGTGTGACTTTAGACAAGTGTTTTCACCTCTCTATGCCTCAGTTTCCTTATCTGTGAAACAGGGCTAATGATTATACCTGCTTTGTACAGTTATTGTGTCTTCTGGTGCCAAAAGAAATGGTAGCTGTTGTGATTATTATTATTATTACTGTAATTAAAAAAAAAATCCTCACCCAAGGATATTTTTCCATTTATCTTCAGATAGAGTGGGAAGGAGAGAGAGAGAGACAGAGAAACATCAATGTAAGAGAGACACATCAATTTGTTGCCTCCCGCACAACCTCTACCAGGGCTGGGGACTAAACCGCAACCGAGGTACATGCCCTTGACCGGAATCGAACCCGCAACTCTTTTGTCTGTGGGCCAGTGCTCTAACCACTGAGAAAACCGGCCTGGGCTTATTACTGTTGTTTTTTTTTTAATCCTCACCCGAGGACATTTTTCCATTTTTTGTTCAGATAGAGTGGGAGGGAGAGAGAGAGAAAGAAACATTGACATGAAAGGAACACATCGAGTGGCTGCCACCTGCACAACCCAACCAGGGCTGGGGACAAACTGCAAGCGAGGTACATACCCTTAGCGGGAACCGAACCCGGGTCTCTCTGGACCACAGGCCAACACTCTAACTGCTGAGCAAAACCGGTCAGGGCATTTCTGTAATTTTTAACTCTTATTTTTATCCTGAACTTTTTGAGCCTTGTGTCTGGAGTGAGAGGTCCTTATCCCTGTCTCCTCTCAAAATCCCCGCCCCCGATTCAGGGTGCTCTTGGGGGTAATTGTCCTGGCTGACACTTGCCCAGTCAGACAGAGTTCCCCAGGCTGTAAGTCCTAAAAGATCCCTCCCCAGGGCTGCCACTCAGAAGGCAATAACCTCCAAGTCCCAAGGAATCTTGATTCCACAGGAGGTGAAAGTCAGGGGCCCCTGGGATTCGGGGCTCTTAGGTTCAGTGGCTGGTAAATATCTGTAGAAATCTATTTAAGAACCGCTTGTCTCGCCCTGGCCAGTTTGGCTCAGCGGTTGAGCGTCGACCTGCGGACCAGAGAGTCCCAGGTTCAGTTCCCCCTAGGGGCACCTACCACAAAAAAAGAACCGCTTCTCACAAACGGAGACACAGATTTCCAGAGTGAAAGGTGAAAGGTACTTGCGTACCCACACACAGTAGACCCAGAATCAAAGTCGGGGGTGGGTGCAGTGCTGGGGGAGCACTGGGCTCCTGCCCTCCCCACCTCCATGATGGCCCTCTGCCCCTCTGAGACGCTACAGACAAAATAAAGCAACGAGCTTGCACTGAAGGGTAAGACAAATCTCAATCCTCTCTCATTTCCAGTCAGATGTGGCTCTCACATCCCTTGGGAGAGATTAACCAGCAACCCTGTCGCCCCCAACAGACACATACACAGATAGACACACATACATACACCACTGAGGCACACACCAACACAGACACACAAACACCACAAAGAGACATACCCGGACAGGCCCACATATTATACCACACAGAGACATAAGCAGATAAACACACACAGAACAGAGAAACACACAAACATACAAACACACAGAAACAGACAGAAACACACAAATGGACACACACAGCCACAGTGAGTGTTGGAGGTGTTTCCTTGGAGCCCCTGCGGAACCACACAAGATACAGAAGTGCTGTAGTTAACCCCTGTCTACAAATCGCAGCTCTTCACAGCCCTTACCCACAATTCAGGAGAAAGGGAGAAAAAAAGAAAGGAAGAAAAAAAAAAAGGACAAAATGGGAAAAGGTAGAGACTAAAAGCGAAGGCTGAGAAAGGGCGAGGGGCTGGGGAGGGCGAGCGGGACGGAGGTCTGAAGTGGGTGGCCAGTGCGGGAACTGTCCCGGGCTGAAGAGCCCAGTGGCAGGTGGGAGAACGAATGGGGCCCGCGGGACAGTCCTTGTTAGTGCAGCGACCATTAATTAAAGACCCTAAGGGAGAGGGCGGGGAGAGAGTCAGGAACAGTAGGCCAGGCTTAGCTCCACCCCTGCAACTCCCAGTCCTCTTCCCTCAAACATACATAATCACTCAATCCTTCTGGCCTTGGAGAAGGAAGGTGACCTTGACGCTGCCTCCCTCCTCGGCCTGGCCCTCCCGCCCCCATTCTGGGGTTGCAGGGAGGAGGCCTGGCAGTCTGGAGGAGGGAGGGAAAGGATGCTGAGGATACAGAGCGAGTACCCGGGACGAGGGGTTGCCATAGGAACCTCTAGGGAGGTGCCCCTAGGCGGGAGGGGGGAGGAGCTCGTTGGGCAGAAGGCAGGAAGAGGAGGGGGCTCCGGGGTCTGCAGGGAGAGACTGCGGCGGAGTAGGCGCTGGGGGAGGCGCGCAGGAAGGTGACAGGCGCGGGGGCCTGGAGATGGATGGACTCTCGTCCTTGCGCGGCCTCACTCAGTTCTTTCCAGAGCCCCAGAGCCCCAGACCCGCCCACTCCAGCGTCCCGCGCTGCCCAGGCCCGGAGAAGGGGCGTCCTCCTGGGGGGCGTCCTCCTGGGGAGCAGAGCCAGGAAAATCAGGCCAACTCCCCCGCCCCCCACCGCACCAATGTTTCTGACACGACCACCCGTTCCCTGTTCGACATTAACTGCATCCTTTCCCCCAGAGGTAAACTGAGTCCGGGCGGGGGAGGAGGGATTGGATTTTTAGTAGAGAGGTGGGTGCGGATCTTGTCCTTTGAAGCCTCCGCCCAGCCTATTACCCCGAAGGTGTCTCGGGGAGATGGGGCTGGTTCGCCCTCTGCCCCTTGCTACTCCCCTGACACCCCACGTCCCAAAGCCCGCGGCACAAAAGGGCTTGGGAGCTGCGGTCCTCCCTGACGCCGGACATGGCCCGGGCTGGGGATGCAGGCAGGGGTGGGGGCCCTCCGGACCCCCGGAGAGGGCGGGGTGGGGGTCGGGCCGCGCGTGGAGCAGGGCTCAGCTCACCTCTGCCTGCGGTCTCCTCCGAGCCGGAGCCAGAGCGCGAGCAGAGAGAAAGCGGGTTCGGTCGCGCCTGCGCCGCAGTCGGGGGTGGGGGTGATGCCGGGGTGGGGGTGATGCCGGGGTGGGAGGGCCCCCTTAAGGGTTGGCTCTGCAGATTGCGGACCCCGACAGGATCGCAAGCCCCTGTCCCTTCCAAAGTTCCCTTCTTTCTCTGAGACTCCAGGCCCCTCACCAAGACCCCACCACCTCCCTGGACCACACCCCTCTGCAGTCCCCTCAGACTCCCCACCTGACCTCGCATCACTCTCTCTAACTGAAGACCCTCCCTGAGCCTTCATTTCTTCCTTGTATCCTTAGTCCCCTCTCCTGGTTTCATTCCCCTCATGGAGCCCTCACCCCAGTACACAAACGCTCTCGCTGAACCCCCACCCTCTTCACAGACTCGCATCTCTCTTTCTCTGAGCCTCACCACCCTCACTGGGCCCCTCCCGGGAAGCCTTCCCGCTCGTATCAGGGCCCCTAATCTCCCACTGACGCCCTCCCGCTCAGGGAGTCCCCAGCCCGGCTCCATTCCTTTTCCTCTTTCAGCCGCTACCCTTTGCTGAGGACCAGCTTCTCTCCCTCAGTCTTGAGGAGGGAGTAGTTGGGGGTGGGGAGGAGATGTTAGAAGAGAAGCTTCCACCCCAGGGAAGGAGCCAATGAGACAGCCTCCCTTGTTCTCTCTCCCAGCACACCCCTGTTCTGCCCTGGGCAGTGTGTGCCCGTGGCCATCTCCCCGGAGGCCAGGCTTTACAAAGCAGCTTGTCGATTTCATTCCTTGTCATGTGCCTACATTCTTGGTTTTGTCCCACATTTGCTGTGTGGCCTTGGAAAAGTCACCGCACCTCTTCCAGCTCCACCAGGCACCACTGCACAAACATGTCTTCCTGTCTTGAGCGTCATGCTGTCTCTTCATGCTGGGGCCTGGGACACAGGGTGAATGAACTCTGCACATCTTTTCCTTCACCATTGTATCCTGAGCCTCACATAGTGCTTGGCATTGGGTAGGCAGCTCAATAAATATTTTCTGAACACAGACTAATAAGAGTATCAAATATACAGGATGGAGCAAAAACAGGTTTACAGTTGTGAATACACAAAACAGTTTATTCTTATACTATTATTTATTAATTATTGTATTGTTTTCCATATGAACAACTGTAAATCTACTTTTGCCCCTCCCTATATGATACTCATTATGTGCAAAGACTTGTCCAAGTGCTTTATAGGTACTACTTACTCATTTAACTGTGTGTGAGAGAGAGAGCCTGGACCTCAAAACTGCAGGCGTTGAGTGGAGAGTAGGTGACATGAGATCCTATGGAGCCTTATAAGGAGTTTTAACTTCAACCACAGGGAAGTGGGGAGCCACGGAAAGGTTGTAAAGAGGGGAGGGATGTTATCTGATTTGTACCCAAAAGCTCCCTCTGGCTGCTGTCCCTTAGGAGAGCAGGCTAGAAAGCTCTTCCTGTTTGGACATCAGCAGAGAGACCAGGGAGGAGACTCCAGACCAGAGATGACGATGTCTTGCCTAGTGATCTTGCAGAGAAAGGGATGGATTTAAGAGATGCTAGAGGCCAAAATGAACTAGAGATGGCAAAAGATTGGAGACAACCTGAGACCATTTTATTTTTTTATTTTTTTTATCCTCACCTGAGGACATTTTTTGATACTTTTGTTCAGATAGAGTGGAAGGGGGAGAGAGAGAGAGAAACATCGATGTGAAAAGGACACATCGAGTTGTTGCCACCCACACGACCTAACGAGGGCTGGGGACAAACTGCACCGGAGGTACGTGCCCTTAGCGGGAACTGAACCTGGGTCTCTCTGGTCCACGGGCTGACGCTCTAACCGCTGAGCCAAACTGGCCAGGGCCCTGTGACCATTTTAAACATGGCTGCAAATTCTTTTTTTTTTTTTGCACAGATAGAGTGGGAGGGAGAGAGAGGAAGAGAGAGAGAGAGAGAGAAACATTGACGTGAAAGGGACACATCGAGTGGCTGCCACCCACATGACCAACCAGGGCCGGGGACAAACTGCAACTGAAGTACATGCCCTTAGCGGGAACCAAACCCGGGTCTCTCTGTACCGCAGGTTGATGCTCTAACCGCTGAGCCAAACCGGCCAGGGCATATGGCTGCAAATTCTTTAGCACTTCTCTTCTAGAGAGGTGGGATCTCTGTACCCTCTCTGTGTACCTTGTGTGAGCTGGTGATGGCTTCAACCAATAGAGTATGGTGGACATCATGCTCTGACTTCCAAGGCCAGGACATGAAAGGACATGCACTGCCCAAGGAGCTCTAGCTCTTGGGGACCTGAGGTTTTTTGCAAGAAGTCTGTCTACCTTGAGGCTGCCATGCTGTGAGGAAGCCAATACCACATGGAGAGCCCACATGAAGGCACCACAGTCCCAGATGAACTTGACCTCTGAGTCATCCTAGTTCAGTATTAGGCAAGTGAATGAAGAAGCAAGTAGATGATTTCAGTCTACCGCTATTGGAATCAGCTTCAGCTCTGATGGTATTGGAGAGGGGATGGATGAGGTTCTGGAGGAGATGGGAAGGGATGAGGTTAAAGGTACTGAAAGATGGGTTAGACTTGAGCCAGCACAGGGAGGATCTAGTGTCCTCTGCTGCATAACAAACCAGCCAGATCCTGGGGGGGGAGGGGAGAGTGGCCACTGAGAAGAGATACAGTGTGGTGGTTGTGAGCCGAACTCTAGAGTCAAACAGATCCAGGTTTGAATCTTGGTTCTGCCACTTGCTACTTACATGATTTAACTGCTCTGAGCCTCAGTTTCCCTGACTGTAATATAGAGATACTATTAGTAGTTGTCCCTCAGAGGGGATATAAGAGTGAAATGAGCCCTGGCCAGTTTTGCTCAGTGGTTAGAGCGTTGGCCTGAGGTCCAGAGAGACCCAGGTTCGGTTCTCGCTAAGAGCACGTACCTCGGTTGCACTTTGTCCCCGGCCCTGGTTGGGTTGTGCAGGTGGCAGCCACTCGATGTGTCCCTTTCACGTCGATGTTTCTCTCTCTCCTTCTATCCCCCTCCCACTCTATCTGAACAAAAAATGTCCTCGGGTGAGGATAAAAAATAAATAAATACATAAATAAAATAAAAATAAAAACACTATTTTAAAAAAGAGAGTGAAATGAGATATGCATATAAGATACTTAGCGCCCTGGCCAGTTTGGCTCAGCAGTTGGAGCGTCGGCCTGTGGACCAGAGAGTCCCAGGTTCGGTTCCTGCTAGGGGCACGTACAAAAAAAAAAGATGAAGAAGAAGAAAGATACTTAGCAAAGCACCTGGAATAAAGTAAGAACCCAATAAAGTATTGTTGTTGTTACTATTATTGTTGCTTTAGTTTATAGGTGGGAAGTTGAATGACATGACACCTGATAGATTGAATGATCTTGAGAAAAACAAGACGCATTTTTCTATAAAGAAAGAGAAAGTTAAAAAAAATTTTTTTTCTTGCCCTGGCCGGTTTGGCTCAGCGGTTAGAGCATCGGCCTGCGGTCCGGAGAGACCCGGGTTTGGTTCCCGCTAAGGGCACGTACTTCGGTTGCAGTTTGTCCCCGGCCCTGGTTGGTCGTGTGGGTGGCAGCCACTCGATGTGTCCCTTCACGTCGATGTTTCTCTCTCTCTCTCCCTTCTTCTCTCTCCCTCCCACTCTATCTGTACAAAAAAAAAAAAAAAAATGGAAAAATATCCTCGGGTGAGGATTAAAAAAAAAAAAAAAAAATTTTTTCTTTATTGACTTTAGAGAGAGAGGAAAGGAGAAGGAGAGAGAAACATCGATGAGAGAGAACATTGATTGGCTGCCTCCTGCATGCCCCCCCACTGGGGATCGGGCCCACAACCTGGGCATGTGCCCTGGCTGGGAATCGAACTGGTGACCTCTTGATGCATGGTTGATGCTCAACCATTGAGCCACACCAGCTGGGCAAGAGAAAGGTTTTAATTCATCAGGAGACTTCAACAGGGTGGTGAGCTCTGGCTGGTAAGCTCAGTGATTAGAGCACGGGCCTATGCCCTGAAGGTCACAGGTTTGATTCCCGGTCAAGGGCACGTTCAATCCTGGGTTGCAGGTTCAATCCTCACTCAGGTCAGGTTGTATGCAGGAGGCAACCAATGTGTCTCTCTCACATCCACGTTTCTCTTTCTCTCTCCCTCCCTCACTCTCCCTCTCTCTAAAAATCAATGGAAGAATATATTCTTGGATGAGGATTAACCAAAAACAAAAAAAAAGGGTGGTGAAGCAGACACAGAAGGTCACATTTTGTATAATTATATATGAAATATCCAGTCAAAAAATCCATTGAGGTAGAAAATAGATTAGAGGTAGAAAATCCATAGAGGTAGAAAATAGAAAATCCATAGAGCTAGGGACTGGGAGAAGGAAAGAATGGGGAGTAATTGCTGACATGGATTTCCTTTATGGTGATAAAAGTATTTTAGAACTACACAGTGGTGATAGCTAGGCAACATTGTGAATGTACTAAATGTTACTAATGGTACGTTTTATGTTACGTATATCTTATCACAACTTTATAGAAAATGTTGTGAGGATTTGGAACGATCAATAATGATGATGGTGATGATGATGATGATGATAGTGGTGAAAAATATCACTTGTTGAGCATTTAGTGTGCGCCAAGATAATTTATCTTCTCAGTAATCTTATGCGATAGGAGCTGTGATAGTTCCCATTTTACAGATGATCAAACCTGGGTCTTGGGAGGGTATGTCACTTGCCTGAGGTCATTCAGTCACAATGTGGCAGGCTCTGAATTTGCTCTGATGGCTCTGAGGCCAGGATTGATCGCTGGAGACAATGGTCTGCGTGGCTATGACTTTCTTTGGCAGTGTCAGGAGAAATGGGAGTGAAGGCTGCTGATACTCCAGCTGCGGGGTTCTGGTTCTCCTGGAGGGGTGGAGCAGAAGGAGTAGGGACGGGATGCAGAGAGCAGATCCCATAAGGAATCTGGCTCCGGGTTTAGTGGGGA